TTTTTTTTAAATCTGCATCAGCCGATTGTGCTGCAAATTAGGCCGATTTATAGGCAGGGGCATCTGCGGGCAGCTAAGCGTTGTTGTGGAACTCCCTCTGAGGCTGCGCGAGACGGAGCAGCTCAGACTGCAGCCGCGGCTTGTTCACGCACAGCTTCAGCTAATGGCAGGGCAAAACAGACCGTTTAGAAAGCGAAATTAAGTTTTACCCTACTAGAATTGATGCCGGAAAGTTATCATATTCATAAGTGCAACAAGTCATTTGCATGTGAAAGTAGAAACATGTTCAATTCAGACGAAACTTCTGGGCTGATTATAACGTGCACCTGAACTTTCCTCATGAAATGTGTGTGTAGGTCCGAACATAGCATCCACAATGTCATCGCTCGTGGCTAGTGCACTCTTAAGCAGTTATGAGCAGCAGTCTGTGTATTATGTGTGAAATCTTTTATTTTTGTTATCACTATGGCCATTTGACTTATAGCAGTGTTCCAGTGTTTCCTATACATTGAGTTATTTGTGGCGGCTCGTCACAATATCAAAACTGACTTTCGATAAGGCTTATACTTCGTTGAATAAAATGAGCGCTTCAAGTTTCAAAATTAAAATGCAGCGTGGGTGTTTTTATATGAATGTATCTTTAAAAAGAACCGACTGTCTTCAGAAAAGCTTCGATGTCATTTTCATTTCGTCTTTCCTGTAATGCCTGATAAAGTAGCGTTTGTGAGCACAGCGCCTATTTGATTACAGCCATTAATCAAATAGGTGCACATATAGTGGTTTCGTATAGTGGGAAACCACTATATCTCCAGCTCCCAAAGCACCTCCTGCTGGCAGAGAATTAATTTGCATTTGCAAGTCTGTGGGAATATCGGCTAAAACAATTGGCATCATATATCAGTCATCGGCTGCCCTGATTTCTAAATATCGGCATCGGCCAGTGAAAAACCCATGTCGGTCGACCTCAAGAACAGCTGTATGTGAGGAGGCGTGAATGGTCATGAATAATGCTGTGATTCATAATGCGGAGATTTACGTGTCTGTGAAGAGAGGTGACAGAGAGCGAGACGGCAGAGAATGCACCGTTTATTTTCTTTATTTTACGAAAGCACATTGTTTTGTTGTTATTATGACTATACAGAAATAAAAGTTGACCCTTTGCAGTTTCAAACGATACCTTATTCTTATCTGTACGATCAAAACTGACAGAGTATTTTTAGTTCTTTTTACGGTCATAAAGAAAATACGAGACAGACCGCACCAGTGCGGGCTTCGACTCCAAGGGCCGGTTGCACCAGCTAGACGTATAAATGCTGGGTGTAAGCCCTACGCTGGGCTTTGCAACGTCCAGCTTTACGATAAATATTTACACCTGTTGCACCAACTAAAACTACGGTCAGGCGCAACTACGCCCGGCATAGACAATGCGCGTCCACGCTGACACATTCTCCCGCAGTGATGGCTGAGACGACTTCACGCTGCAATGGCTACAACTACTAATGTTAATATAAAACTGAATTGCTCAAGACATCATAACAAGTGAAGCCACCGCTCCATGATTTTATTGAGTAAACATTTTCTAACAAGTCCGCGTTTTTTATATCTGAAGTTGTAGAAGATTTTTATTAATCCAAATAGGAATTAATCAAGTATAATCATTATGAATATAGCCATTTAAATATCCAGTTATACTTCCATTATAATCCCATATGCCTGTGTGTAAAAACATGCCTACGTGGCAGAATGTACAGGCCCTAAGATTAGAAACATCTGGAAAAACATAGGTGGGGGCTTTCTTTCTTCACCATAACAAGACTTGGGGGGGCCTTCTCTCTAGGGAGAATTGTGTGCACAAAGGAGCCATTCTATGTATGGACAACTGTATGGGATATATACCCCACGCCTTAAAATCCAACCTGTATAAAAAGAGAGACAGAAAGACATTCTGGAGATGTTTCGCTGCAGAGAGCATCTCCGTTTTATTTTCATTGATGATGAAATAAAATGTATCTTCTGG